TAAATAAGATTTTATTCGATGGATCTATTAGCTAAGATTTAATCAATATAGTTGTTAGTATTGTTAAAACATCCTTCTAAATGATCAGTTTTACAAAATATGCATTAAACATTACTTCATTTTCAAAATTGATTGTTTTAATCAATACAACATCTTGTTAATCGATTAAATGAACTTATTCAACATGTTTTAATCGATTTAAAATCGAAATAATCGATTATTTTTACTAAAGTTTCATGTTTTCAAAATCTTAAATGTTTTAATCGATTAAACTTTTCTTTCAATCGATTAAAATCATTTACCAAGAACATTTTAACCAGATTATGCTCTGTTTTTAATCGATTTTTATTACGAAAAGAGGATTAAAGGCTTTAGTTAATGGTCATTTCTGTAACATGCTACTAAAGCGTGATTCCCTTATCTTTACACGTGTTAATTGTATTCATTACAAACGTGTTAATGGAGATAAGTTTGAATCAACTTTGATTGATTCTTTTCATGAGTGAAATATTGATTCACTTTGTATTTTCAAAAACTTGAGCATATTTTTCGAAACCTTACATTTTATTCTTTTCTCTTCGTTTCCCTATTTTTGATGAAGTCAAAAGGGGGAGAAATAGTTGCATCACTTTAAGATAAATTTAAGTGCAACATTTTAGGGGGAGAAATAAGTTTTAGGGGAGAAACAAAACTTTATTACATTCTTATATTTCTCACCTAAGCTGCATTATCAAGTGACTTATTTTGCGAGAGATTGTTTTTTCAAAATGGTGTTTGTCTTCATCAAATAGGGGAGACTGAAAGTGATCCTAGCAAAGATCTCATTGATTTGATGAAGTCAAAGATAAAGTCAAGGGTCAACTCTGCAGTGAGTCAAACAAGTCACTCGAGAAGAATGGAGCTAAAGACTTAGTGTGTCTTAACGAAAGCTTAGGTAAAACCACTTTACCTTTTCCACTGCATAAAGCTTCTTCACTCATCTTGCAAAATGCCTCAAAAACAATTTTTAACAAATCAAAAACAAAAGCATTTTGGCAAAGAATTTTCTTAAACAAGTTATTAAGCTGATACAGGTTTGAAAGAATCAATTTAAAACACTTAGAATGTCTTAAAAAGTGTTTTTACAATATTTTAATCGATACAAACTTCTTTTAATCGATTAAAACTCTTTATGACAGATTAGAATTCGAATATAATAGGTCAGAATGCAATATAATCGATCAGATCTTAAATATGAGCTGATCAAATTATTTTAATCGATTAAAACATGTTTCAATCGATTAAAATCACTTTGGATGTCAGGATGATCGATCAGAATGAGATTATGACCGATCGAGTTGGATATGATCGATCAGAATTGAATTATGACCGATCAGATCTGTTTCAATCGATTAAAGCGTATTTCAATCGATTAAAATAACTTAGAAAATCTTTTCAATCGATTAAAACGAACTTTCAATCGATTAAAATGACTTGAAAATATATGTGCAGATTTTCAATCGATTAAAGCGACTTTATATCAGCTAAAATAACTTGGAAAGTTTTATAAGAAGGTTTTTAAACAAATCAATCGATTAATACGCGATTCAATCGATTGTTTTATACTTTGAAAATGTTTGTAAAACGTTTTAGCTGATAAAAACGTGGTCGTATCAACTAAAACATTTTCTGTTAAAGAACAAGAACGCATTAATGGGTTGAAAGGACTTTTAACAGATTGTAGCGACTATTTCAACAGATTAAAACAAACTTTCAACAGATTAATTAATGCGACAGATTTGAAAATACTCTTTTATAAACGAGAATTGCTTGGAACTTTTAACATATCGGTTTTTACACAATTCAAGCAATCAATACAAGCAACTATTAGCATTCTTTTCAAGAAAGATACACAACTATTTTTGTGAACTTCTTTTGAAATCTTTCTTGAGGCATATTGCATCCTTTGAAGAAGAAACTTACTGTGGATTAGAGTAATCCGGTTTGAGCTTTCTAAGTCTCTTCTTTGTAAATTCTTTTTCATTACTTTGTATTGTATTGTACACTGGAATTTGGGTACAAGTTTTTTCTCGAGTTGGTAGGTGGTTGTAGAAGTTTCCAAGAAGCTGGAATTTGGTTCTTGGTGGAGAGGTTAAGTGCGGGAGCTGGAATTTGGTTCTTGTACTTGTTTGGTGCCTGGAATTTGGGCACTTGGTTTCTCTGCATGCTGGAATTTGGTTGCGAGAGGTTTCCAAGAACTGGAATTTGGTTCTTGGTGAAAAGGTTAAAGTCGAGAGCTGGAAATTGGTTACGGTGTTAGAATAGGTGTAAGAGGGTGAGTCCGTAAAACATCTATTCTAGTGGAACCCAGTTGGAATTTGGTGGAGTGCGGACGTAGCCACTGGTATTGGGTGAACCAGGTATAAAATTACGGTGAAATCTTTCCTAACCTTTCTCTCTTTAATTTCGTTGCTGCGCTTGTATTGCTTAATTACTTTGTGATTCGTGAATTGATTAGTAAACTTAATTTTCGAATTAGATAATCTGTTTATTGCGAAAAACTTTCAAAAATCAATTCACCCCCCTCTTGATTTAAAACTACTTTTCTAACACCCGTCCTCGATTCCTTTTGAGGTTAGAAATTAAATTTTCATCATAATCGTAATTGGGTTTTGAGTTTGTCCGGCCCCACCCCGTCCTTGATCTATATTATATTTTAAAAAATCATTATATTTATAATAAATCAATTTTACTATTTTTATGTATTTTTTATACATAAAAAAAAACAAATTGATCTGGAGAGATTAAGAAAATGTGAAAACTTGAAAGATAAGAGAAAAAAAATAATGTTATAAACTAATTGATATAAAAGATTAAAAAAACAAAAAAATTAAAAAGTTGATATAAAAAAGTAAAAACGGTTAAATATAAAAAAATAACCTTATATGTAATATAAAAAGAAAAGAAAACACTTTTAAATATTAATATTTTAAAATTTAAATTTAAATTTAAATATAAAGTCCGGATCTGGGGACCGAGACTGAGACGAGGCTAGAATAGCGATTGCATTACTCATCCATGCTCCCGCTCCCGATTTTTTAAAGCGGAAATCCGAACTCGCCCAGACTCCCGATCAATTCGATTTTTCTCCGTCAAACTTGGGACGGAGACTGTCTAACGAGTACGAGTTTAATTGTTATCCCTATAACTTATCAACTTTTTAATTAATTGTATAATAATAAAATATTATATTTTTATACTTATTATTATTAAAAAAAATTGGTGCTTACATGTTTAGAATGACTAATGAAGTCAATATATCCCTTCACAAAAGAAAAAGTGTGAAGGAAAGAGAATAGAGGGTTGCAACAGTTCCAACTCAGTACAAATGTGTGTAGTTTTTTTCTGCCAGAAGAGCAATCACCGATTCTTGAACTAATGGCACTAAGAAGGAATGGGGATGATTTTTGTTTATTTTTCTCTTCCCTTCGTAGTTTTGTTGGGTTCGCAATGATTTGAAATCTAGTGGGTTATTCGTATTCTTCGGATTGGTTGATAGTTTAATAGTCTAATTTTATTTGTGGTTGTGGTGGTTGAAACAATGTGGTGGTCTGAGTCTGCAAGTGCTGGAAGAAGAATGGTGGTTTGTGGTGGGTTCATTTGGAAGTTCAAAGACAAATGGTATGAATAATTTTGAACATCTGATAAGGGTGACGATGAGAAAAAAAAAAAAAAAAAAAAAAAAGTTGTGATGGCGATGGCTCGGGTGTAAACGGTGTGTGATGGCTTTTGGGTGGAAATGAGTTGAATTCAGTTGTATTTTTAAATTTGAGCTTGATTTATAAAATTTTTTGTTCAAATTTAAATAATTAAATTATTCTTTTTTATGAAAATGTTTTTCAATTATTTTTAATATTATTAATACAGCAACTAAAATGTCATTCATTATTTATTAATTATTAAATTATTTTTAATTCATTTCATAAAGCATTATAAAAAAAATTAAAAGATAGTTTAATAAAAAACTACAAATATAATATATATATATATATATATATATATATATAATATATATATATATATATATATAACAATCCATTGATGAATATGTCCAACTTTTAAATAATTAACATAATTCATTTAAATAATTAAGTCAAATAAAAATTTGAGTTTAACTATTTAATTAAATAAATAAACTTGAATAAGTAATTATCAAAGCATACTTTCATGAAATATTTAATTTATTCATACTCCTAATTATAGCACGTGGAAATAACGGCAAGGGATAGAATTGTAAACATAAAAATTGATTTTAAAAAGAGTTGAGCCTACGTCTACCACCTTTTCTAAACATTATTCACCTTAGGACAGTTCAATAGCTTCAATCTCCTTCTTGCAAAAAGTATAAGCTGCTGTCTCCCTCCAAAACCAGCATATTTCTTTTTTCAAATTATCCCATTAGTTGGGTAATCTATCCTTCACAACCCTCCACAACAACATTTAAATTGTGATATGATTCTTTTTAAGCATTCAATTTAAAAGAAAAAATTATCGAAAATTCAATTTAATGATAAAGATAACTTGGGAGCCAAGGATCTTTTTGAATAGATGTAACAGGAACATTTGAAATACGTTTTAAACAAAGAAAAAGAATGTTAACAGTACGTTTTATGTTTTGGAGAGTGAGAGTCATTATTTTAATTTGTAATATAAGAATAAATTTAACTTCTGAGTGGAGAGAGGAGAATAATATCGATAAGGGCAATTCTATAAAATTTGACAAGTATGGAATTTGGATATAGTTCTCTTATCGGCACGTATACAAGATTCTTCCACTAACAAATATGCAGAGCCAGAGCTAGCAGTGCTGATAGTACAATGAGGATATATGCACACACAGTCCATATGCAGTATGTGTTCCGTAACAAAATTTAGCCTTGAAATCTTTCTTGGTTTACCTGAACTTTATCTCAGCTTTGTGTCTGCAAGTGTAACAAATATCTACAGGGTTTGATTCAGCTCTACTTATTCTTCTTGCCGCCAGCCAGAATTCGCTGGATTTGAAGCCCTCGGCTGAATGCTTGGTTGAACAGCAGCCTAGTTTGGAATTCTGAAACAAATGGGAACCAAGCCAATATGGCCACTGGTGCAAAAATAACCACTCCCATCAAGTATTCGTAGCCTCTTGCTAAAGATTTGACAGACCCCCACATTCCAATGCCCTTCACGAATGGCCTGCATGCTTGTGCTATCTGCACAACATATGACGCCACACCAATCAGAAAGAAGTGATTTTTAACTTATTTACATCTTATACATGACTTGTAATCTGATATTGAAGAGTATAACAATCAATCGAATTAGACATTGTCATGATGAGTGAACCATGATACTAGAGTCAGACAGATGAAACAAACCAAAAATAAAGATTGAGCCAGAAGATGGTGACTGGTGATTACTAAACAGGAACCTGTAGTTTTGTGTCAAATGTGACAAAAGAAATAAAATAAAGCAAGAGGTCATGACCTATAAATACGAACCTGAATAAGTGCCCATGCTGTTGGCAAAAAGGCTAGGAGGCTGGCAAAGATGTCTCCAACTGTGAGACTCAGAAGAGTAAACATTAGACATAGAGCAACAATGGCTCCAATGAACAGAAACAATTTGACAAGACGAAACATCAACTGGAAGTCTGCGCTGAACTGCTTTCTACCCATGGACACAATCTGCAGTTTCAAATGTCACAAATTAATAGGGTCAATATCAAGCACCTGCAGAACGAACCAACTTTGTTTTTTATCACAGAATACCAACCTTAAGGATAACCATGAGAGCTACCATCACTATCCAGGACAAAGCATAAACCTGAAGAAAAAATGTATGTCAGAAAACGTTTCTCTATATATACGCTCGTTTCTATTACTTTTTTGTGTGGAGGGGACAGGAGGCAGTGATCTGTAATGAGATCATGGTATTTGGAAAATGACTAAATTCTCCTATATCCAAGGGATGATGATGGGAATAAGGGTATTAGGGACTGTTTAAGCCCCACATAGTGACATATATGTTTAGTGGTGTATTTAAATATTTAATTCTCTCACCTTAATAGTAAGTTTTTGAGAGTAGGTTCCCCAATACTACTTGAATACTTATCAATTTGTAGCTGCTGAGATTTCAACTCTCAAGGATAATGGCTTGCTTTTGATACTTGGTTGGTTACCCAATATTACTTTGTCTCATCCCAGTTAACAACACTCACTCTCAATTTAGTAGTATTGACATTGGTGTTAAATAAGTTGAACCCTATTGTTTGGTTCCAGAGTTTGACATGAAAACATAAAATGAAATTAAATTGGCAAAGCATAATTACCAAGATGCTCTTGTCACCTCTGGCTACATTGAGATGATACACAATTCCATACTGATAGACAAAGAAACGCAGGTCAAGAATAATCTCACATATCCGCCCCAGACACCCAGTGTGCTGCAGATGTTCTTGTTCTTCATTCCACCATGATTCCCAACTCTTGTTTGAAGGAACACCAATGCCACCTCGAATACTTATCCACTTTTGCCAATCATCCCAGTCCTCAACTATCTTCTGCCATTCAAACCCTGATGGATTAAAAAGGAAAGGAGAAAACAAAAATGAACAGACCAAAAACCACATTGACCACGAGAGAAGCCCATATGATGTTGAATCCGGAGCTGCTGATCCATAAATCTTATAACATATGAGCAAAATTGCGAGCTCAATTCCTTTAACAAAGTGACTTCTAGAGTACATCCTGTAATTTTCAGCAAACTTCTCATGTCGAACAACAAAACCACGGCCGGTTGCTCTGTACTTAGCCCCTCCATGCAAAAGAGTACGCCCATAATAGTGTAGCTTTGTCCCTAGGGAGAAAGTGAAGAAAACAGGTGCTAGCTGCAACTGCATTATTATGAGCTCCCCTACAGCAGTTCTGAACCCTCTCTCTAGTCCAATTTCCATGAACATGGGCAAAGTCATTACAAGTCCTATTTGAACAAGGGATTGCGAAGCTAATGCTGATTTTAGTGATTCTTCTCCCTCTCTCTTAGCCAACTTTACTATTGCAGCCTCAAATCCACTCAAAGACAGGTATAGTTTGCCATATAGGAATGCATAACATGTGAGGACCACGATCTGTGAATCAACAAATGAAAGATTTATGCACAATTACAAATAAAGAAAAGGAAAAATAAAACATTTAAGTAGATAAATAGCTAAAACAAATCATATAGCTTCCCTTAAGAAATTGTCAGTTCTCACTGTAACAATATCAGTCAGGTTCTCATTTTGTGGGGAAGGACATAAATGATTTAGTGTCCGTGTGATAAGAGATTAATTTCCACATACATTAATCATATTATGAATGTTTGTTTTTAAATACTGTTAGGGTTAGTTTAATTTTAATGACGAATTTGGGAAAAATAATAATACAATCGAGCATAATCGCATCAGTTAACAGAAAGTACTGCTTTTGTAATATCCTAAATGCTAACCATTACCATTGAGCTTATATAAAATCCAATGGTCGTGAAATAGAATGATAGCATGCGGAAAAAGTCAAAACGATGCCCCAGCCTGTAGATATCTCTGCTTAATGTCTGCTCTCCGTTGCCACAAGCCACTTTTGCTTCAAAAAGTGAGATTTGATTGAGCCCAACATCTCTACCCTTTCCGCATTGGATATATTCATGATGAGTGATATTTCCGCGTCTTAGAATGGAGTTGAATCCTGCATAGGCAAAAATACATATGATGGAATAGCGTGCCACAAAAACGCATATGAAGCAATGTACCAAAAGAAAAGTATATGATGCAGAAAAAGAAATATCAAATTGTCAGGACAAAGAGATGTTTCAAGATTGGTACCAGCAAAAATATCCTCGCTCAGATTGATGCCACAAGAAGCCTTGCTAATTCCTCCTCGAGTTATGTGGAAAATTCTATCAAAAACATCTGGATGACCATAGTGGAATCGCACCCTAGAATTGAACAAATCTATTATAAGCCCCAAAAAAGTATCCTCTGCATATTCATTCTAGTCATTTATATCTTGCAACAATATAGCAGAAAAGATGCTAAAGTGAATTTTGAGAGTTCATTATATTGTATCCGAAAATTGAAACAGCATGGGCTATGACACTCCAGCAAGAAGAGCAAAGACGAGGGGAAAAAGAAATAAGCAAAACTCATATAAGTATTATTTAAATAACACTTAACCTTTCAAAATAAAAATATACATTCATGTATTTTTCTTTTAAATAAAATCACCGATTTAACTTTGGGTGAGATCTTGTATTAGCCAATTGTTCAGCAGGAGATTGCTGATTTTTTCTTGATGTTAAACAGGTACTTACTAATCAACTACGTCATGAAATCACTAGAGGAAAACTTACTTCAGTGGTCTTGCAAGAACTCTTTGACCAATTGTGACAAAGCTTGTTTCTTGATTTGACATAAACCAAGCCAAGGAAGATACACTGTAGCAAGTGATAGAATTGAGAAATATGGTAACTTAACATGACAAAGTGCTCACTGTATATGAATAAAATTCACCAGACCTGCCAGTAAAGATGTGTTCACGAACACCTAATATTGTAGGTCGGCGCACTCCATGATCCTCAGTAAACTCTTCCAAAAGATTGCGCATTTTTAAAGCTTCTTCCAAGTAATTATCCTAGAAGAAATTTGCAGTACACCATTGCAACGGGTCAAAGTTTATAACGTTTGTCTCTTAAAAAATGTTTATAACGCTTTACCTGGTTCATGTCAATAGTCTGAAGAGCTTCGCCTCTTGTAAAAACGATGGCATGATTTTGATTTTCAGGCTTCCCTTCTCCTATCTTTGCTGGACCCGGCAGTTTTATTCGAAATATTTCCTTTAGAGAAAATAATAAAACCATAAATTCTATGTTAACCACAAATTAGTTAACTTAATTCTGACATCATTATGCACTTACCTGGTCAAGATTGTCCACAGCTTTGACTAGTACAGAGTAATAAACTTTCTGAACTTTTCCTCCTTCTCTTTCTTCAACTTCATCAATATAAGCCACACGAAGGGAGGGATTGCTACAAATGAAGAATCAGATATTATATTCTTAAATCAAGCGCTGTTCTGGAACCAAAGGCAAATATATATTGCATTTGAATTCATCAAATGGAGAACATACTTAACCATCAAATTCAGAATGTCTGTCGCACGACGATCTCCACTACGCTTCTGATTCCCATAGTTCTGACAGGTAGCCACGTACGTGAATTTCATGTCAGCAACGGCCTCTAAACTAGCATATAAGGATCTATGGCTCTTTTTGTCTTCCTCAGACGGGACACTAACAGCTTTATAGCCATAGAGTATCTCTGCCCACAAGATAACAGAAAACCATAGAATCATCTATTCTTGGTAAATAACTACTCTTTTGTTTATCACCATGAAGAATATAAATACGCAATAAATTTCATATAAGTGATATTTATGTAAAACCCTGGTCCATGATCAAAAGCTTGCCATTGCCATTGCCATTGTGGCAACTAGACTAAGCTAAATAGCTTGGAATAAAAGGAAATCATATTTACCCTCTTCATTTGCCATATCAAGAAAAGCCTGCAGCTTAATAGCCCGCCGGTAGTACATCATTCCCCTAACTGCATTAATGTTCATGTACAAGAGGAAAAATATTAATCCACCAAATCCTGTTTGTGGGGATGGAGAGGGTAGAAGTCACTGTTACCTGTCCTACAAAGAGTTTGCCCTCGTAACGAGGCCCAGTAACGTAGCTGTAATATGTGTTCATCTTTCTCCCATATCTCGCTATCTTTCTTACAACCAAGCCGTTCCATCAAGTTATTCCACTCATCTGGTAAAATAACTACAATTTAGCCTGTCCATTTGCTACTAGCAAATTACAGTCAAGATATATAGTGGTAGTTATAACAAACCAGGGTAGATCTTTTGCAGGTAATATATGATTGAGACACCATCTTCATTTTCAACCTCAAGGTCATTCTTCGAGTAGACAGTCTCTTCACTGTAGTATGGAGTTAGGACACTACAAAGAAAAAGCAAATGTTTTCTATAAGCTCAAGAAAACTTCGGAACACATCAGATTCAATAACAATGCATCACAAATTGGTTTAGAAGTAAAGTATTAAACAAAAAAGGAAAAAGATAATTTGTGTAATAAGAATTTAGATATTAACCCTGATGATCACAAATTCTATAAACTCTGGAAGGATTTCAATATGAATCAGTTTAATGTCCACAAGAATAGATTATTTTGTTGCAGTCTATAAAAAACATGACATGACATTTGCATATATCTTAATGGCTACAAATTCTGTACAAAAACCAAGCATCAAAACTTATTGGATATGGTTTCTATTCCGAGGGAATTAATGTCTAGATAGCTGAATAGACAGATAGCGACTTGTTACTTTCCTAGCGTGTTACATTTCCATTTTTATTGCTCTTAAAATGCAAATAATTTTGAAATGATTATAAATATTCGAGTTGCTGAGTGCTGTTGCCCTCAAGTATTTCACCAAAATCCAGTCTCCAACTAACCTGAATGGCAGCATTTTACGAACTCGTGGAGCACGTGGCATATCCATGAACAATGAATTAGTAAAGAATGCAATCCTTCTCCGTGCCTCAAGGTTTGTTGGCACCTCAATGGCAGATTCCTTAACCGTCAAAAGTAAATAAAGACGTCTAATCTGAAACATCCAAAAATCATTCATAGATTCAGAAATATCAGACAAGTTAATAACAATAGAAACCGTAGATAATTATAATTATAATTATTATTATTATTACTATTACTATTACCTGTTCATCCCATTGGGCTGTAACCACAGGAGGAAATAGTACAGCTGGTTTTGCATCTGTACCAGCAAAAAGTTGCCTTCCAGTATCCTTGCTACTATGATTAAGTTCTGCCAATTCACTGATGAACATCACAACATAGAAACCACGCATTATTACTATTATTAACGGAAGAAACAGAACAATTATTATATTTCAAATTATGTGCAGTTAAGTTAACCGACCTGATCTCATTTACCACCATATCACGTGTAAACACTTCTAACATATCTTGCAACAAGACCACCACTGTACCTTGCTTGGATGAATTTGCATCTTTCTGTAACCAGAAAAGGATGTGTAAGCTTAGAAACAGGATAGTTAAAGACAAGAAACCGTTTACAAAGGTTATGTATGATTAGTTTTCCTTTAAATAACTTACCAAGATTTCCACAAGCTCCACAAACTTCTTACAAAGGGAAGGCAAAAACCCCATTCGGAAATTTGAAAGAAGTGTATTCTTAGAGATGCTGTTTTCAACTTCCTTAATGATGATAGAGATTGTTCTGTTCCATCACAATGAATTAAGACTAATGTTATTGATAATCATTTTAATGGAGTGAACCATGTGTTCCTTCATTTATTTTGAGTCAAGTAATCCAGACAGACAATTAAAATATAAGTAGATAAATAAATGAAAAGTATATGCACGTCAAACAAGGCTAATTGCTTTTGTGAATTTGAAACAGGAAGAGCCAAACGTAGAGCATTCATACAAAAAAATAAATGGAAAAAGAAAGCTGGATATAATGCTTAATGGAACTGGATCACAGTTTTATTACCCAAAAAAAATGGCTAGGATTATTTATAATCCTCTACTGATAATGCTTCTATTATGAACTGTAAACTAAAATCGACAAACCTTTTTTCAGCTTCTCCAACTATCAAAGCATGCAGGATGTTTTTAAATGATTCGTAGCATTCAATCACTGCACACTTCATATATTCATCTGCACATATGCGCTTCCATAGATCAAAGTCCTTTCCTCTGAACTGAGCTGCCATGTCCAGTGCTATAGGAATCTGCAAATGTAGACAGTGAGCCAATTATATGAACTGGTAACAAACACAAGCGTTTAAAAAATTAATTACACAGACCTTGCTTGCAAGCAGAAATGGTGGCCATTGAATTGTTTTCAAGCTAGGATCTGATGAGTATGGAACCATCAAAAGATCCATCTCCCTGGAGAGATGCAATCATAGTTTAGTACTTAGTAGGTGATGGGTTACAAATTAAAATATGAAGGAGATAGGATTTAGGACACAAGTAATTGAAGAGTTTGGTTTTATGGCCTTTCCTATCACTTATGATATCTTCCTCCCGGAAACTGCAAATAACTTCATTCCATAATTGAGCAAATTTAGCAGCTTCACTCCTTCTGCTTGCAGAAATCTATACAAACGCAGAAACATAAGTGTAGATAAATAATTATCTTTTATTTAATCTAGATAGCAGCAAAATGAAAATGTGATAGAAACCTCGGCAAATCGCTTCGAGAAAGAAAATTTCTTCTTCTGCTTCTTGTCAGTAGGAACCAAGTATGTGTTGAATGCACCAGGCAATGATTGGAAACGCGACCTTAGCATGGTCAGAGTGCGTATCTGTGTAAGCAAATGGATAACAACATTAACTGGCCGGTAAAACGTTGTGAGTTGAAGTATTATATTATATCTATTTTACTCCGTGACTTTTCCAATGTCAAGTTCTCCCAATAAAATGAAAAGGGAGGTTCAAATGTATTTACACTTTGGAAACTTAAAATTTCATAAAAAGAATCATGAAAATGACAATCTAGCACTTTATGTGGGTAAAAAAGGGTCTCTGGTAAGCACTCAAAAACTTAAAAGACTTCACAAAGCATCCCATTCAACTCGATTACCTCTGAGAGCTGGCATCTTAGCGAGGCTCACACTCTACAAGCACCCAAAAACTTGAGAAATTCACCCTTAAAAGTTAGCTGATAACGGGGAGAATCAAACACTTACTTAACATCCATACTACTACTAAATATCGGACTTGGATACCATAATGTGCAAGTCCCTATTAGTCTCATGAATTTCTTGATTAAATAGGTTCATTATTTTTTTTGTATGCATATATGTTTTTCAACAGTAAAGAAAACCAATAAAATAGTTAATTCCCAACTTCTCTCCAGATATTGAAATAAGGTAATTTTGACAATGACCTCTCCTAGACGATCAAAGGCTCCAATAACACCACCGCAAATAGTCGAAAAGATGGAATACCAAATTTGAGTGTCCATGAAATAAACCTGCATTCAAAATGTAATCTGAAATGTTTACACTGAAAATTTTACCCCAAACAAGTGAAAAGATTAATATATTCGACCATGACTACGAAATAAAGCATACACACCATAAGTACAGGGGCCCAGAGTGCAATAACTGCACCATAGTTATTTTGAGCTGCATAGAACAGAAATACTAAATCAATAAAATTGAAAGGAAGTTGCAATGGACGCAAAAAATGTGAAGAAACTACCTTTGGGGAAAATTTCATGCCAAGCAAAATCAACATGCCGAATACTCATTATGTCCTTAGTTGGCTGAATCAGAGGTTTAATCTGAAGAAAAGAGACGACAGTTATAAGGAGGCTCAATAAATTCACAAGACATTATTAAGAAAATAACAACTACAGTCTTTGTAATAATTACCTGTACAAAAAAACTGAATGAAAATTTTGCAGCCAAAAGAATCACCCAAAAAAGTGTATATCTGAAATTTATAAAAAAAAAAAAAACATAGAAGATGGAAAATTTTCAAACAAATTACAGGAGCACAAACCTTAAGTAACTTGGATAACATAGTATTCTGCAAAACTCACTTTAGGAGAGCAAATTGATTCTCATGCATTCCTCTTCCCACATAGATTCTTGGCTGCATGATGATTATCCATTTTAGAAAATTAACCAATGATTCTAAAAAATTGCTTCCTACTGATTTCTATTATCAGGTATGCATTAATTTCACATTGAAACAACAAAGTACACTGAAACAGGCATCATACCACTAGAACAATTTCAATTTATGATGAAGAGATAGTTAAATGCGAAAGTGCATCAAATCAGAAGACACAAGTACCTGTGACCACCATAAGAAAAATCTAACTACGTGCCAGTCTGAGTTTTCAATCCAACGCCTAAGCATTGGGAAAAGAAAGAGAACAGCTGCTAGTAAATTTGGAAGCAGATAAACTGCAACTGCAAACATATACAATGGTGGAATCCCCTTTATACGATGAAGAAAGGAAAGCAGATCCTTCATAAAGTTGGGTGCATCGTTGAAGGAATGCACATAGAAGAGTGGAAGAGCAATAACCCAAAAAAGACTAACAACGACTTTGAGAAAATTTCGTAGGACATCAGTGAATCTCCAACGATGATAGCCTGGAAAGTTCAAAGCCAGGTCCAAGATACCTAAATCAAAATAAAAGTGAACAAATCCGATGTCACTTCTTCAACTACTAGCTTAAACCAACATCAGCAAAAGAACTCCTGTAACCAGTGCTTCGATAATAGTATGATACATTCTACAAAGAAACTTGAGTCAATATACCATACTTTGAAGTAAGCGCAGAATGGCTGCCGTAATGAATATGCTAGAGAGATTATATAAGACCTTTTTCTGAAAGATATCCAACAACGAAATTCCTTCCCAGGCAATAATGAACATCACCTATAATAAGAATGTTATGGTCTTGTCAGAGCAACAGTCAAGGGAGATAATGACATAATCACTTCTTCTGTTGAAAACAAATACCTGCAAAGCTAGCAGATAGAAGGTCCATAGACGATCAAAACTGCGAAAGATGTTCCAAAATGATCGGGTCTCGGCAAAATTTGATTTTCCAGTTCTTCCAGATTTTTTCTGAGCACCCTTTCTTCCCTGATATGGAATTCACATAAGCATTGAACTAAATAAATATCTTGCGTCAGACAAGTATTTCCTAAGAGAATAAATACCTGTGTCATATTAAATGTTGATATAAAAAAATCACCATCATCACGCATGGGCCATCCAAGAGAAAAGCAATCAGGTGACCTGAAACCAAATGCAACGGAAGTTAAAACAACAACAGGCAACAACTGAAAAGAGGAAACGGGCCAAAGAAAGTCAGTTTCAATTAGAAATAAAAGCCTAAAGGCAAACGAACCAGAAATACTCATTTAGATCATCATAGTTGCACCAGGCTGAGTGAGGAGCTGCTCCATGTCTGCTCTTCTTGGCTTCCTGTATTAATTAGCATGGTAATAACTCATCATTGAGAAGAAAGGTACCTGAAGTAAGTTGACGATCTCAATATCAGAAAAACCATACCTTTTCTATTACTCGGTATATAGGAGTTATAACCTTGCGCAAGAATGCCTCGTCATCACCACCATAAGAAGGTTTGATGTTTTCACCAGTAACAATGCTGACATTTCCAGCCAATAAACCATGAAGTTCATATGCCATCTGAAGTTATAGATAATTATTATTATTAGCACATGCAGAAATATTACTAACAAAATTAAAAATAAAATCGTTACAGTTGATCTTCAAACACATTCTGGCACAAGATATTGTAACACTTGAAGAATATGTACCCACATTATGAAATATGTAGCAGAGACACTCTGGCATGAAGCGAACATTGGATGCTTCACCCCATATGAGAAGATATAAGCCCATATAAAGTAACTTCCTTTGCTGTATCTCTTGATGACCTTGAGGGAATCTGCATGAAAGAATACCATAGTCACTTTTGTATAAATATTTTCAGATTTATTCTTAAAAATATGCTAGGAAAAGACAGGAAAATTGTTTGTTAACGGAGATATTGTTATATCTTACCGTAAACTATGCTTTCGTCCCAAAAATTTGCACCACGTTTTATAATTCTTAAACAGCTTATTCATCACTGAATCAATGGCGCGATCATCAAGCTGCAGTTGTTTAAGAAAATTAAAAAAAAAAATAGTGAAATTCAACTAATGGTCAATACCAAAGCCGGCTACCCTGAAACTAAATGAAATTTTGATGGGAGTTCTCTTTATTTCTGGTTTATCTCTAGTAAATCTATAAATTATTTGCCCAGAACAGGAAGATGCGAGATATAGCTACATACCTTGTTAAGAGGCTCAGGTTTGGGGTTCAGCCTTATGTGAGAGTTAGCAAGAAGTAGGATCAAATGCTCTCTCTGGTTCCTGACGTTGTCCCTCTGAGGCAAAATAAACCAAATAGATTATTTTATTGCGGGCGCTATAAAAAAAATAAGAAGTTAGTAATAATTTCTGTTTGGGAGTAGAAGACATGCCTGGAACCCAAACATGGCTCTAAGCCAATCAAGCAGATCCAAATCTCCCGTTCTCTGCCTTTGTTGCTCAAATAAACTTGGCCAAGTCAGGCCACGAGTATTCCGGAACGCAGAAACAGCTGCCTTAATCTACAACATGGAAAGATAATCAAGGAGTTCAGTACAAATCTAAACAAAACACAAACTCTAAACATCAATGGCGGCAGAAGGGATACCTCTTCAAGCAGCATAATAGGCTGAGAAGCCCCAGCTGAATCCAACGGAAGAATGTTGAAAGGTGCATATATCTCCGTCTTTTCCTGGACATCTCTAGCAGCCGCAATGATCTAAATGCACAAAAATCACTGCTTCACTTACCCTTCCAAATTATGAATGATGAGAGAAAATTATGCAGCAAGCTACCATTCTCACAAGATGAAAATGAAAATGAAAATGGATTGTACACATTAATCAAGACAGACCTCAGGAGCTACTTCTTCGACCTTCTCAGTTTTGTTAACGGCACAAAGCACTTCAAAAAGCACCCCGGCGGTCTGGTAAGCTTTCCCAAGCTGTGCTCTAATGTTGAAAATTAAAAAAGGGGAGATACAAAGGAATGTTAGGCATGGAGGCAAAGCAGGTGTCCTTATCATAACAAGACATAAAGAGCGTGTAATATACCTGTCTGCCCGCTCTCCTTGGTCAAGGGCTCTGACATAATGCTCATAGTATTGCTGATAATAAGCCTGGATTTCCCTTGCATCTGTTTTCTTAACACGCGCGATAAGACTGTATCCATTGTCCTAGAGTTCCAGAAATCATGTGAGAAGAAGCTCAAGTAGGAGATCAAAGTGCAACTCTTTCTATCTCCCTTTAAGTAATGCAGAAAATAATAATAATAATAATAATAATAATAATAATAATAATAATAATAATAATAATAATAATAATAATAATAATAATAATAATAATAATTGATTCACTTTAAAAATAAAGAAATAACAATTAATTATACATATAAATATATTCTCTCTTTTTTCTTAATCACCAGACTTTACCGAAATAACAAGAATCAAAATCTGAAATTATTTAATTAAAAAACGCAAGTCATTCCTATTTATCTCAACCAATATTAATAAAGTGACATATATTTATTTGATCATATTTTAACCATTAACCTTTTTATGTATTTACTATTAATTTTAATTTAAATATATTAATAATATATATATATATATATATATATATATATACTGTAATATAGTTAAGTATTATTATATATGTAAGATAAACTAATTATTTATTATAATAAATAATTTAAAAAGTTTCTGATGGTTGATAAAAAAAAAAACACGTAGAACATCCACAATACATTCATAGTTACTTAAATGAATTATTCCGTAATTTTGTTTGTCTTATCATCCTATGCCATTAAGGTTTAAGAATTAATTCTATAAATTTACTCTTAATCTAAGTGTTTAACCTAATTTTGTATATCTTGCAATCGACTCCATTTAATACTTAAAAATTATTTTTTTATCCCTTTTTCTTGTTCAAAGTATATTATTTAAAAAAATATTGCAATATGTTAATACTATATTTCTTCTAATAATAACAGAATTTGCTAAAATTTACTTAGGTATATGATCTTGTAAAAATAAAACTATTGATTCTATAACTCTTTAGTTTGTTATAAAGCTCTCACATTACGTGAGATAAGTGAAAATATATTGACAATTTGATTGGACAAACTTGTTTATAAAGAAGAAAAAAGAATGAAATAAGTTTTCTTATAAGTTAAAATTAGTTTATATATAACTAAATTTTTCTTATAAGTAGTGAATTTTTTTTTTAAGTATTACTATTATGTCTTTAATAACCCTAAACTTTTAGTTTTGAAAATGAGGAATGATTAATAGATAATTAATATAATAATTAATAATAAATAATATTATTATATTAATATAATAAGTTTGTTATTTGATTGTATTTCATCGTGCCATGTCAAATAAACATTTCTTTTTCGAAAATTTCTCTTTTAAAAATGACGCCGCATTTTCTTTTTCACGTGATAGTTGGAGACATGCAACGCGAAAAGAGTTAGTTACGTACCCTCTCCAATCGCTGCAGCAACAGCGTCTTAAACTGCCTCACACCACGTCCGCTGGAGCTCTGATCCAACCGGTGCGCCTTCTCGAAAGCATAGAACCGACCTTACAACAACCAACAAATCAATTTCAGCGATTCAGAGAATTTTCTAAATGATTTCATACAACAAATTTTACAACTAAATTAGAAAGAAAAAAAAAATATATTAGATGTAATAAATGATCAAGTGATGTATGAATTGTAGCGCAACTCTTTCAGACAATACCGTCGCAAATGTCATCAAGTATTGAAGGAAATGAAATAGAATTTGTGCTACTGAGCTAAGCAACATTGATGACAACATACATAGATACGCAACCCTAGGGCGTTCGCTTTCGATCTCATTGGCGACTCGGAGAATCGGCGAGATGGAGGCGAGAGAGGACGGAACGACTTCGTTGTCAAAAACTTCCGTGGAGAACGTCGTGGCGGCGCTTCTCGATGGGCGCCGCGTCAGTGTTGGAGGTGCCCCATCCAGACTGGACATGGTCGCCCACCGCCGCGACGTTCCCTACCCCGAGCCTTCTACTTTACCTCTTTCTCCTCTGTTCCAACATCATATAAACAAAATTAACTGATTAATTATAAAAGAAAAAAGACGTATAAAATGAGAAGAAATTGAAATGCAGTGGTGACGAAAACCTAGACGAGAGGAGAAAGACGGTTTCAGGAGGCTACAGAGAAAGGAAAAAGAAGGGGATAAGAGAAGGAGGAGAAGAGAGAGAAAGTGCCGGGAGGAGTGGAAGAATATGCGAGAGGAAGAAGGAGATGACACGTGGCAGAGGGAGGGAGGGAAATTATTGGAAGAACAAGGTTTACGGAAGCAAAAGAAGAAAACAGAGAAGATATTTTTGAACGATGGTTGAATAATTAACAAAGTCGTTTCTCTTTTCTATTTTATAGTAGCTAGGGTAAGGGAATCTTAGCAAATAGTTAGAATGTCATTATAATAACAAATATTCCAGCTTAATCTGATGAACTTCTGTTAAGTAAGTGAAATTTTTAGAAAGATATGAATGCGTGGAAAAAGAAATATCGAAACTAGCCAATTCATTCACCAACCCAAGTATTTGAAATTACCTTCATGGCATCTTATGACCTTCTTCACTCCATAAAATCTTTTGGGTGTACCAGTCTGTGCATTTAATGCAAATTACTTAAATTATCAATTAGTGCTGGCTCTGTTGTGTTGAACTTAATTTGGTCAACACCGAAGCAAATCTCTTCATTTACATCAGACATAAAATGATAAATAAGTTGGACCATGGTTGACACATATTTTTGTGCTATGGAAAATGATGGGTGTAGAGGTATCAGATGAGCCATCGCTTTGATTCTGTGCATTTATGCGTAAAAATTTGGTTGAGTGAGACTAATTTGAATTCCTCATGTACAACAACATATTTATTTTTCTCTAAATTTATTTAAAATTTAAAAAATTACAATAGCGAACCAAATACACTGAATGACTGTGTAGATATTTGCACTTCATGAGTTCGTTGCTTAGTTTTTTAATCTCATTTTAAAACTCAATTTGATCATTTCACTGATCTTAGGTAGAAGAATGACTCAAATTTGACAAAGTGTAAAAGAGAGGATCACGAACTCTAATCACGAATTAAGAGGATGAAGTTAAAGTTTGATCTTAAAACCTTAAGAGAAGTAGCATAGGGGTTAACTTATGTTTAATAGTTGGAAATGAATAATGAAATGTTAATGAGAAGAAAATAATTAGACTAAACAATTCAAATCAAAATGTTAGTTAGATTAACTAGCTATACAATTACTATAATTATTTATAGCTGTAATAAAAATTATTGGGTCAAACTTTTTATAAAAAAAAAATTGTCAAATTGAGTAAATATTCAATTACTATAAATTTCACCTAATTAAATTAATTTTTAATTAAAATAATTAATCTTAAATAATAAATATACATTTTTTATCTTTCCCAACTCATATCATCACACAAGTCAGAGCCTACGTCATTCGAGCCAACGAACAAAAAATGACAACATATGATGCTGACTTTTCAATAGTTAATTTAATTGAAAAATAATATTTTGACAACTTAATTTTAGATTAATAATAATAAATAATTTTTAAATAAGAAATAAAAGAATAAATATTATTATTATATTAATAAAATAAATTATTATATAAATATTTTTTACTTTTGATTTTTTATCTATATTTACTTAATTTGATTATAAAATAAAAATATTGATATTTAACAATTCAATTTAGTTATATTAATGAAAATCTAACAAAATAAAGTTTTGATATTTACATATGACATTCACATTTATTGATTTCATTAAATTTCATTTGCCATGTCTCAGTAATTACAGTGAATAAAATTTTTATAAAGTGAAGGTATAGAAAGAAAATAGATATCAGAGGAATATAAGTATTAGAATTTTATGTAATTATAATTCAATATTACAAAATTAATTTATAAAATATTTTACAGTTTGTTATATATCTTTTTAGTCATATATTTGTATGAATTATATTTTCTAATACACTTTTCAGGTCTATATGACATTTTAAAACGTCTTATTAGAAATTTATTAAAATTGTGATTGTGGTCCTTATTTATCACACTCTATTTTAACTATATATTTTTTGTAGTTAATACATATTCTTACATTAATAAATAAATTTTTTTAGCATACAACTTATTTGCTTTTTTTTTTAATAATCTTTAATTTTTTAATTTCTAAAAACTGATAAACTAGTTTTATACTAAAAATTATTTATTTATTAGGTTTTAAAATTTCAAATTCAAATTTGAGAAGATGCGTTTTATTATTTTATCAATAATATTTATGCTTTTAATATAATCTTAATCATTGTGATATTATTAAATATTTTTAAACTTTTTAGGACTTTTCGCAATATTTTATTTAATTTAAAACAATATTTAAATTAGAATTATTAAATATTTTTATTTTTTAAATTAATCATTAAACTCTTTTTGAAAAATAATAAAAAATAAATCAGAAAAATCTTAGATATTTATGAATAATCTAAAATAAAATAAATTAATAATTCTTATTATGACAACGAAGTTTGTATAAAAAAAATTGTAACTTTATTTCATGTAATTATTTATAAATCTAAATATACATTCAATTATATATTTTATTTTAGTCATATAATATATTTAAACAATATAATGTAAAAAAAATTGAATATAAGAAAAGAACATGAAAATAAAACAGAATATTAGAGTTGTATGAACTATATAGAATCACCGAACTTCATCATCATAGGTTGGTCAATTCCCTTTTTCTTTGATTTTCTATCTTCTTTTTTTCCATTTCTTCTTTCTGTCCCCATGATATTTTATTTACTTCTCCCTTACACTTTATCAACCAAGATCACAATTTTTCTTACATAAACATGAAAGAATTTCGCAGTAGATATCATAAAATAATAAAAGAAATTAGTGCATGCACACATATATAGCAAAATCTTCTCCAAACAAAAAGAAGGCAAAGAATGAAAGACGTGGATGATGACATTTTCCATTCTTTACAAACAATATTGAAGAAAAAAAAATCAAGAAGAAGAGTATTAATAATTCTTGCATTTTTTTTTTTAAGATATGTTAAGGTTCCAACATGCAATACGTGGAGTAATCTAACATGTATTTAATGTGGGACTTTCAACATGTCCCCTCCAACAAAGTTGGTCAGACCAGGTAAAGGGTAGTTTTGATCCAATTAAAAAACAACTTTGACCCATGACAATAATCGGAAAGATGTTAAGTTTTGGCTCTGATACCATATTGAGGTTCCAACATAAAACTAATTGATAATATATGGAGTAGTCTAACATGTATTTAAACTATACAAAATGATATAAGGTAGATGACGTGATATAAAATTTGAATTTATTCTAAAAATATAATATTCCATGACTTAAAGACAAAAGTGATTTCGAAACACATGCAATCATGGACGCCCATGCTCATTAAGCTCCTTCATTTAATAACATATATGCATTATTTGTTATGAGTATATATATATATATATATATATATATATATATATATATATATATATATATATATATATATATATATATATATATATATATATATATATATATATAAAAGAGTTGTTGAAAGGAGTTGGTGGAATGAACATAATTTGGATACGAAAATGAAGCTGGTTAATTATTGACTCACCACAATAGAAATATATCTTCTTCCTTCGATGAATGAAGCTGGTTTTTGTTGTTAATAAAATAAATAAGAAGAAAGAGATAATGGATCAAGGCATGACCTACCTTACAGATTTCTGAGTTGTGAATTTATAGCCAAAATTAAATAAATTTCATCGTTCGCGTGCAGCCGCTCACCCTGAGAGAATGAGTGTGCGACCATGTCTTTCGTCGTTTATTGAATTCTTTTTTTTTTTTTTTAAGTGAACAAATTAGGACTGTTCTTAAGATTGGATCGAAAGTAGACCCTCCAATCTCAGGAGTCCAGTTTTATAAAACTCTTTTTGATAAAAAAAAAATGAAAAATCCTATTAAATTAAATTGGGTTTATGAATTTAAGAAACAGCGAAACTTCTTTAGTTTTCTTAACATTTCTCTCAATTCGAAAATCCAATATTTGAATTCGATGTTTTTTTTAATAGAATTCTCTTAGTTATATTGATTTATTTGAAGGATTTTACTTTCTCACTAAGCCTTTATAATTGAATGGACAAAGCACTAACAAAGTAGTTGGTTAAACCGTTGTAATAGAAAATAAGTGAAGAAGGGTGTAAGAACTAAAAATAAGTCACATAATATTTTAAATATATATATATATATATATATATATATATATATATATACAATCATTTATATGACTATATTTATAATTCTTTTTAATTTAATCAATAAAACATTAAATTTATTCTCATTATATCATTTTTAAATTATTTAAAAAATAAATAAAAAATACATTCGTTTACCATAGAAAAGTATTTAATACAGTTATTTATTGATCTATAATACAGTTATTATAAGGTCTTATTTATAAATTTGTTAATCTCTTGTTATTTTTTAATTTTTAATAAAACATTTAATCAATAATAAATTATTAGAGAATATCGTTAACACTAATTAATTTATTGGTGCTAATAATAATAATAATAATAATAATAATAATAATAATAATAATAATAATAATAATAATAATAATAATAATAATGTCTTGGAGAATTTTTTTTATACTAAGAATGTAGATAATTTATATAACTAGAAGGAACTCGTAACATATGATTAAAAAATTTATTTTACATTTTATTCATATTCATACAGAAGAGACGGTACAATATTTTTCTCAATTTCATGTTTTTTCTTTAATATTATTATTATTGATAAAGAATTTGATTCAATAAAAATTCACTCCTTCGTTTACTGTAGAACTTTTAAAATATAAAAATAATAGGAAATAGAGTTCAGATATTAAAAAAAAAAATT